AAGTTCCGTTTCGCGTCCAGCACCGTCAGCGACTAGGAAAGTTTAGATATCGTTCAGCGTCTGGCAGCGTCCACATGCGTCCAGTAGCGTTCACCAGAACAGGGAGTAGAGAGTATGGGGAAGTGGGAGGATAGCAAACAACCGGATTAGGCGTCGTGAAATAGCGGCGTGTGTCTTTACTCCGGGTATGTGACAAGAGGATCGTAATTCGCCGCGCTGTGGGCGTCGCGTGCGACGTCGCGCCCGCAAATGACGATGGTTCCAGGTAGTAGATGGCGACAACAGGCAATTCAGAACCGAAAATGGTCATGAATGTCTACAATGACGGGTCTACATGAAGTTCGGTGCTCCAGTCGACAGGTTAAACGAGTTAAGAAAACGCCGCGAACATCGCCGCGCGCGGCGGAGCGGCGAATTACGATCCTCTTTACCGTCTCCCCTCTACTCCCGGTCGCTAGTGAACGCTGATGAACTCTGGCGGACACTGGCGAGCGCTGGTAGACTGATCGATATCTATACTTTCCTAGTCGCTGACGCTGCCGTACGCTCGGAACGCTAGTGGTCGCTGGTAGACGTTGCTGCAAAGTATGAACGCAGTCTATGTTGTGTAGTGTAGCTGGTTCCCAATATGTTCACTGTTTATTCAGGCTTATGGAGGTCTGCGAGGTGCTGTATCATTCTCACTGGCATTTATGATTGGTGACAAAGTTCCTGTTAAGAATACTATCCTGTCAGCAACCTACATGGTCATACTTGTAACCGTGTTTTTGCAGGTACATGCACAATAATTACAGTCATGATCTCTGTAAACGGTAGGGCATGTGACGGGGTGTGGATTGGAGCTTCGCCAAGGGTGCGTTTCCATCAATGATGCTACCCTGAGTCTGCAACAGTTGGCGGGAAGGGCTGTTTTGGTTTGGCTTTGATCCAACTCATGCCCCTTGACAGACTCATTTGCAAGGAACATGACAATACATATGTTCAGATTGCATTGGTGAAGATCTTTGCAGGGAGGAACCATCAAACCACTAGTCCGTTATCTGAACATCCGTTTGGCTCGAAAGGAAGACAACTTCCGATTATTCCTGGAATTTAATCGCGGGATGATTGCACATATGACGCAAGGTATCGAAGATCTCTGTGGTTACAAGGATCGAAGTGTGGCGGTGAGTGGTTAATACCTACGGCTTCATCTCCTTGATATCAGTTGGCCATTTCAGCATCAAGTGAGCGTATTTTCAAAGGCTTACATACGGCCTCTAGTTCAAAGAGACTACAAGAAAGAACAAAAAGGAACGGATCGATTGCTTGAGATCGATCGATTCGAGACGATGAAGTGGAGGATTTTCATCATCTTCACTCTGACAAAACCTTCTAATACGACTTTTCAGAGAAATGAGAGCAAGCCCATCCCAAGGGTCTTTTAAGCGACAACAGACTGTGGACAAGATGGCGGAGAGGTGAGATGTAGTAGTTAGTCGCTAAACGTTGTGAGTCTGTGTTTCGCTTTACGAGCGTTCGGCAGCGTCAGCGTAGAGATATCCAGCTTCTGCCAGCGTGCACCAGCGTCCACCTAGTGTCCAGGAGTGGAGAGTATGGCGCGATGGGAGGGTAGCAGACAGCTGGTACCTTCCTAGCGCGACATACGCTCTACCAGCAGTCTGCCACCCCCTTATATGTAATTTGTAACATTGCAATTTGTCGGCAGCAGCGCGGCACGAGCTCGCGTCCGGCTGCCTTGCTCTACCAATGGTGATCGAGCAATGATCGATGTAGGAAGGAATCAGCCACTGGTGGGAAGGCTGCAGGTGGGAACCGCTGATTGCGATCCAACAGGTCGCGGTGGTATAAACTGTATGTCCCCATACTCTACCGGCTGTCTGCTACCCTCCTATCGCGCCATACTCTGCACAAGCAGTCTGCTACCTTCCTATCTCTCCATACTCTACCAGCTGTCTGCTACCCTCCTCTCCCGGACGCTGGTGGACGCTGGCAGACGCTAGATCGATATCTACACTTTCCTAGTCGCTGACGCTGCCGGACGCTCGAAACGCTGGGTGACGCTTTGGCCACTGGTGCAAAGTATGAACGCAGCCTTACGGAGAACGTCGAAGAAATGCGTGGGATATCACAGCGGACAGTTTCCCACAGTGACGTCTTGGAGTGACGTTTTGCACGGAGCCTTCTGAGTCATATTTGTAGTGAGGCAGCGTTCAGACTTCGCGATGGCAGCGCTTCGGTCGCGCATTCGACGCGATCGATGCAGTCGAAAGCATGCGCATCGATCGTTAAAGACACATGGTACGC